AGTCTTTAACAATGCTGTCTAATTCGATGAGAATTCATGAAACAAAGAATGTTCTAGTTTTTTCAGAATTTTCAAGAAACAAAGAGTGTGTTTGTTTTTTTCCAAAATTTTGCTAGTGTTTGCACCTCATGGCGCAGGGCAGAAAAAAAAGAGAATTTCTGAAAAAGTTAGTAGAGGAAGACAGGGACAGGTCCAAGGAAGGAACAGCTCCTTGGGAGAAGGCGAAGAAGTAAATGCCTGATATCTTAATGTTTCTTGTTTCTTCATCAGGAACTGACTCATGATTGATGGTCCAACAGGCTTCCTTCCAAGACCGTAAACCTCACGGCAGGAAGTGACCCAACTTGCTCCCTCAGAGTCGCTGGTGAATTTGGCTTTGCCAGAGAAAAATGGCCTTCAGGTTAATAGCTCAAATCCCTGCAGCGTATGTGACCAGAGCTCCGTCCTTGTCTCTTAGTTAATTGACAAATGACATCTTTCGTGAAAGTTATTTTGCTTTTGTGCTCTCTTCTGGAAGCTTTTCTGTACGGATCGAAATAGGTATCCTATTGCGTTTTGCCAATTAAGGATGCTTTATCATTTATTGCTCAGAAAAATCAACTTATTTAAATGAACCCAAACCAAATGCAACTGATTGCTGTGGATCTGACTCAAAATGTTGAACCAAAACAACCTCAAAGGAATTTATTAGAGGTTCAGAACCAGTTAGAACTTTGTCTCATTGAATCTCACCACATAAACCCTAGACTCTGCAAGCAAGAGGAGAGAGGTGTATTTACATAGTAAGGTCGGAGACTAAGAGTGTAGAATCATGATATGTTGGCGCTCGGTGATTCATAAAAGTGGGAGGCAGGATGTCTTGGAATGAGAAATGAAGGGAGTGTTAGTACTGTAGACACGGCTCAGCTCAACTCAATTCAGCTCATTACTATCAAGTCAGAACCAACCCACAGCTCTCCCTCCAGCAGGTTTCCAAGGCAATAAATCGAGTGGGAGGAGATTGTCTGTCAAGGTGTGGCTTTTGGGTTAGCAGCTCAGCTCTCTCAACCTCCTGGTTGTTGTTGTTATGTGCCATCAAGTTGTCTGCGACTCATAGCGACTCTACGTCCAACAGCCCTAAACCCTGCTCTGTCCTGCCCCAATCTCACCATCTCCGACACACCTGCCCCCATTATTACCCCACTCCCTAAATCAATCCATCTCATCGAGGGTCTTCCTCTCCTGCGCTGTCCCTCCACCCTCCCAAGCATGACATCCCTCTCCAAGGACTGGTCTCTCCTTGCAACATGTCCAAAGTATGTCAGACGAAGCCTCATAATCCTTGCCTCCAAGGAGCAGCCTGACTTCACCTTCTCTAGGACCAATCTGTTTGTTCTCCTAGCAGTCCATGGTATATTCAATACTCTTTTCCAACACCACAGCTCAAAGGCATCAATTCTCCTTCTATCCTCCCTAATAACTGTCCAGCTCTCCGATGCATAGCAAGTGATTGCAAAGACCATGGCATGTATCAGGTGCACCTTAGTCTCCAAGCTGACATCCTTGTACTTCAGCACTTTGGAGACGTCTCTAACTACAGACTTTCCCACTGCTCCCTGTATATAAATAGACTTTAGAATTGGGTATATGAGTAAATTGCAGAAGAGGTTTTACAGGGTGGTTAAAAAATGATTACAAAGCATTCTTTCCTGTATACATTTTATTAAAATATTTACATGAACAAAGGATTTTATAAAGGTGATTGGAAAAAAAAGAAAAAAAACAAACAAAACAAAAAAAAAAGTGATTGGCACCAGAGATATCAGACAGCCATTGGAGTCAAATGCTCCCAGGAATTTTCTTTGTATGTCCCTGGCTTGACTCCTTCAAACCAATGCACTGCTGTCAAGTAAATTCTGACGTATACTATCATCCCTCCATTGAGCTCTGATGGCCTAGTGGTAAAGAGGCTGTGCTGCAACCCCCAAAATACACAGCTCAAATCCACCAGCTGCTGGAGGATCAGCTCTGGTTTGGCTCTGACTCGACGGCACACAACCACAACCATCCCTCCTTTGAGTTGCCAAGGCTGTGACCCTTTACAGGAGGGGGCTGCCTGTCTTTCAAGCAGTGAACCCTCATGGATTTGTACTCTAGTGGCAGCTGGTGACTTTGAATTATGTGCCTTTGGGGTCGCAGCACAGTTTCTTAACCACTAGGCCCCCAGAGCTCCCTGTATGACTAGGCATTCTAAAACGGCACTAGAGCTTTTCTCTGGTGTAAAGGAGTGAGTAGGAGTGATCTTTTCATTATTTTTGTGTGTGGACTGTCAAATCAGATCTGACTGGTACAGGAGACTGTCCGTCCTTCTCCAGCAGAGCATCTGGTGGCTTCAAACCGTGTACTTCTGGGATTGCAGTGCAGCTTCTTGCCACTAGGCCACCAGAGCTTCCTTAGGAGTGATCTTTTTTATATTTTCTAAATCCTCTTGAATGAAGAATGGAAATGAGTGGTATATTTTATTAATAATATCAATCAATACCCTAAGATTAACATGGTAGCCTAGGAGTAAGGCATTGTGTTTCCAACCCAAAGGCATGCAGTTTGAAACCACCATTTGCTCCGAAGGCAAGAGATAAACAATCTCCTCCCATGTGATTTACAGCCTCTGAGAACCCACTGGAAGGTCAGCTAGGAGTTGGTTTTGACTCGAGGGCACTAACATGCCAAAACTCAAGAAAGACCATTAGTGAAAATATCTGAACTCCCAGATCTGAGGACTAGAGGAGATGGGGTTTCCAGAATCTTTGGGGCCTAGAAGAACAGCCCCTGACAACTGACCAGACTAGGACCCAGAGGCACAACCCACTTTAAGTAGGCCTCAGGTAGGCTCCGTGAGAGGCCAGCAAACATCTAGTGTCCACAGCCAAGGCTCAGGGACCTGCTGAGAGGCTTGAGAGGTGGGAGTTTGTCTTCACGAAGCCCATCAAAACTGCTGTGGTCAGCTTCCACCTGAAGGGCCAGCTTCTCTCTCCAGAAGGCCCTGGCCCCCAGGTTGACTGCACCCAGTCTCCTTCCAGACACAAAAAAGACCCACTGCTCCCAAAGCAGAACATTCTTTATTGTAAACAAAAAAAAAATACAGAAGGAGAAAGGACAAGTATGGGCATTCAAAGAAAGAACGCTGTCTCTGAGTGTCTCAAAACACATCCAAGTTGAGTGTGAAAGATGAAATGATTTTAAAACTTTCCGTTTTATCAAAGAGGCAGGAGCATGACCACTTAAGGCCCCACCATGGTTGGTGGTGTTTCTGAAGCCTCTGGGCAGGGATCTTAAGGGAAGGCACCTTGTTCAATGTTGACTGGAGGCAGAGCACAGATGAAAGACATTTTCTGATAGGTTAGAGACCTGAGTCTATGGCATTTTCTCCCTGAAGGAGAGATTTGAAGGGGTCTGTAAATTCTCCGGGGAAGAAGAAACACAGGCAGCTGTGCCCGTGGCCAATTGGCTGTGTGATTTCGGGTCACTCCCCTCCTCTCTGTGTTCCGTTGAAGGTGTAAACGCTAGCCTTATCCGCTCGTTCCCAAAGTCCATTTCAACCAGCAGGGAGAGAAAAGATGAGGAAGTGACCCCAATCAGAAAGACAAAGGTGTGCCACGCTGGTCCAGGGTAAGAGATGAGCCCTCTTGATGGTAGGACTCAGCACAGCCATCCCGAGGACTGGTTATGGAGTGCTGGTGGCCTATTGGTAAGGAGCTGTGCTGCCATCCCAAAGGCACGTGGTTCAAATCCACCAGCTGCTCCACGGGAGAAAGATGGGCAGTTTTCTCCTGTGTAATTTACAGTTGCCAAAAACCTTCAGGAGAGTTGGCTATGAGCTGGTTTTGACCTGATGGTACTCAACAAGAAGCCATACAGATGCATGTGTGTGGACAGGGATGTGAGAGTGTGTGTGTGTGTGTGTGTGTGTGTGTGAGCGTGAGCTTGTATGTGCCTGTGGGACCCCCCACACTTCCGAGCACAAAGCTCTCGCGGGGCTGCCGTATGTAAACCGGCCCCAGCAAACACCTCCAGAAGGCAACCAAGGTGTAGGATGTTGGTGGGAAAGTTTGCGATGACAGAGAAATCGCTTTCCTGCCCACAGGGGATGGCCAGCCCCAGGATCCAATCTTGCAGGAAATGCCAGCCTCTGGGATCCTGTCTCATGCCAAGCAGAGCTGAGAGCGTCAGCTGGGAAGACCTATCTCAGCCGAGCTGCTCCAGCCGGACTCAGGGACTTGTGGTCTCTGAAGATGGGGCAGAAGCTGAGAAGTTCAATACACAGTGGGGAGGCCGGTCTGGTGGGACATCAGGCTTGGGGAGGGCTCTTCCGCTCTGCGCTGGCCTGCTTCTCCACCTGTCCAATGCATATTCCCCCACCAGGAGAAGAGCGGAAAGTGAGATGTGAAGTAAGGTTCCGAAGCATCAGAAGGTGCCGCTGTGGAAGCAGCTGGTCCTGGAGC